GTAGTAGTAGTAGTAGTAGTAGTAGTAGTAGTAGTAGTAGTAGTAGTAGTAGTTATCATTATTTTGTTTATTACATCCGTATTGTCTGCCGCAGTTGAACCAGCATGGGACAAAACTCCTCCCGGCCGGACGTGGAACATCCTGCCTTTAAGGGACTCCAGCCTCCGCCGCAGGGATCCTCTCAAGAATGGCCGCGCTGGGCCTCGACTTTGACCCAGGGACTACCACGTGATGGGGAGAAGGGCCTGTTCAGGGGAGAGTTCATCCTGGTACAGGCCCCGCCCTCTGGGGCGTTGAGGAGAGGCGAGGAAACCCACCCGAGAGCCCAGCATCTGTTCAATCAGTCCTTGCGTGAGTGGTCACTGACATCATCATCATCATCATCATCATCATCATCACCATCATCATCATCACTGTCATCATCATCATCATGTTACATAACATAGATAAAGAAAAGGGAGTCTTGTGCATTTTCAAAACAGTAGTATAAATAAATAATTAGATGAAAACGTTCGATTTATTATTTTTTCTTTGGGAGGGGGGGCATGAAGGAGGAGGGGGAAAAGTTGAGGAGAACGAGGCAACAGTAGGAAGGGAAGGAGGCGAAGGATGATTAGAGCATGAAGGAGAAAGGGATGAAGAGGAGGACGATGTGAAAGGGAAAGAGTTGGAGGAGCAGGGGAGGAGGAGGGTACATATGACGGTGCTACACATAAAAATATGCACAAGGAAGCTCGGCAGTTAGTCTTTTTTATTGAAGTTACGTCAGAAAAAACAGTCTCAGCAAAGCAGCCATGATAATGACATTCTTTTCTACCCGCTCCCAGGCTCTCGCATGGTGAGTCTACCTCGACTTGAGCAAGAATTTCTTATGCAGATGAGACAAAATGGTGTAACGAGGCTACCGAATCAGCTGCCGAGACGGAGGTAAGTTTCTAACAAAGACTTGGTTTTTGTGAGAATTGAACGCCCGCCTATCAGTGCACAGTCGGTTATTTCCGAGGTGAAGTCCTGGAGTGTGATGAGAGGAAAAAGAAAACTAATCATTATTGTTTTTAATGGGAAATGTTTCACACGCCAATACACAAGTTTAATCTTTAAGGAGGCTGACTGCTCCATTCCTCCCTGTCAGGGCCAACCCCGCACTGACTAGAATACATCTCAGTAAACTAGCGGAGATGAGGTATTCTATATTATATAAAAGTATCTTTCCCCACCCAGTTCGAGAATCCAACTCACGTCTTGTTTGTGCACCGGCGAAGAATTTAACTATTACACCACAATTAAACAGCGACAGAGCAAAATATAGTTCTCTAAGGAAATAAGGCAATACCAGTGTGTGTTGTGCAGCGATTGGGCGCTTCGGCGTCGTGCATATACTCAAGATCTGAGCTCGGTACCGGTGAGGGAAGAATTTGTATCGAGTATCTCGGCTTTCTACTGTTACTTTGTATCACTTTCAGTCGTGATTGACACATGCCAGGCAGGGTTGAAACCAGCTTCGAAGATGTGGGTCTAAGACACTTATATTTAAAAGGAAAGAAGAAAATGGGCTATACACCGATGTACACATTAACATCCAAGCTTGGACATGTTTTTGTCACTGTACGGGACAGAGGTCGCCTCAACCACCGTCTTACGGTTTCCTTTTTCAAAGTTGTTTCTTTTTCCATTTTTAGAGGGACATGTATAGCAATCCAAGTTTCTTTCTTTGACTTCAGGGCGTGAAGGAGTGCGGGGATGGGTTCAAGAGGTTCTGTGTTGGCAGAAACTCATCCCGTATCCGTTCATCACGTAAATTAATTTATTGTGGGTGGTTTGTCTCCTGGACAAAACATAAAATGACGAACAAATACAACTACGTGAAGCTGTTTGGGTCAGACATACTCAACATAACCCACCTATTGGACATATTATAGAAGAAGAAGAAGAAGAAGAAGAAGAAGAAGAAGAAGAAGAAGAAGAAGAAG